GGACGCACCTTGGGACGTGCCAAGGGGACGCGCTACGGAACGTGCTGGGGACAAGCGTTTCGCTCGAGACATCCGGTCAAAATCATTTGAATTCCTACGCGCGGGAGGCTGCACGCGCGAGACATCCTCTGAATTCCTGCGAGCGGGACGTGGAAACAAGCATTTCGCCTGAGACATCCGTTGAATTCTGGCCCCCCACGAGGCCACCGCTCGAGACATCCTCCAATTTTGCAAAACCAGCGTTTCGCTCAAGACATCCTCAACAAATTATGGAAAACAAGCGTTTCGCTCGAGACATTCGGTCAAAACCCAAAGAAATCCAAATACCCGCGCGCGGGACGCGGCACGCGCGAGACATTCTTGGAATTCATGCGCGAGGGGCGCTTTTCCGTGTCGCGGTCGGCTCTGCAAAACCAGCGTGTCGCTCGAGACATCCTCAACAAATTCTGAAACCAAGCGTTTCGCTCGAGACATCCCCAACTCTGCAAAACCAGCGTCTCGCTCGAGACATCCTCAACAAATTCTGAAAAACAAGCGTTTCGCTAGAGACATCCTCAAACATTACACTACACCCGCGCTTCCAGGGCCACGATCCCTCGTAAATTACGCTACGTCAGCGCTCCCAGGGCCACGATCCCTCGTAAGGGCTCCTGGGCCCTCCTGGGTCTTCCTTGGACCTCTTGGGCCCTCCTGGGCTCTCCTGGAGCCTCCTGGAGCTTCTCCTGGGCCCTCCTTGGGCCCCCTGTGCCTCTTGGAGCCTCCTGGGTCCTCCTGCGCCCTCCTGGGCTCTCCTAGTCCCTCCTGGGCTCTCCTGGGCTCTCCTGGAGCCTCCTGGACCCTCCTGGGCGAAGTCAAGGTCCGATGCCACCCCTCACGCAGATCCGCGGGGTCACGGTCCAAAAACACATGGATTTGCAACATTTCTGAAATTCGGTTGCACCCCTCACGCAGATCCGCGGGGTCAGGGTCCAAAAACACAGGGGATTTGCCACATGTTTGAAATTCGGTGGCACCCCTCACGCAGATCCGCGGGGTCAGGGTCCAAAAACACAAAGGATTTGCTACATTTCTGAAATTCTGCGCCACCCCTCACGCAGATCCGCGGGGTCAGGGTCCAAAAACACAGGGGATTTGCCACATTTCTGAAATTCGGTGCCACCCCTCACGCAGATCCGCGGGGTCAGGGTCCAAAAACACACAGGATGTGCCACATTTTTGAAATTCGGTGCCACCCCTCACGCAGATCCGCGGAGTCAGGGTCCAAAAACAAACGAGATTTGCCACATTTCTGAAATTCGGTGCCACCCCTCACGCAGATCCGCGGGGTCAGGGTCAAAAAACACAAGGGATTTTTGTTATTTCCGAAATTATGCAACTTCAAGAATCCAAAACTCCGTTCACAGCGCCGTTCCGGAGGCCGCGGTACCTCGATATTTATCGAGCGAACGCGTTTACATCGTTTTTTTATCGTTTAAAGTCGATGTCGGAAAAAAGCGGACTTCACATGTGAAATATCGAGGTTTCCTTAAAGGCAGTAAAATTCCAAGAGCACGATCTGCGTGAGGGGTGGCGAAAAATGGCCTTCGTCCTCACAATTTTAATTCGCCGGCCCCCTTCGACCTCGTAATTTATCGCACAAGAAATTCGCCGGCCCAAGTAAAAACCGGGGGGTAAACCTACTAAAAGAGAACACTGGGCCCAGGCCCTTTCCGGGAACATGGGATTCGCCACATTTCTGAAATTCGGTGGCACCCCTCATGCAGATCGGCGGGGTCAGGGTCAAAAACACACAAGGGTTTTGTCACATTTCTGAAATTCGGTGCCACCCCTCACGCAGTTCGGCAGGGTCAGGGTCCAAAAACACAAGGGATTTGCAACATTTCTGACATTCGGTGGCACCCCTCACGCATATCGGCGGGGCCAGAGTCCAAAAACACAGGATTTGCAACATCGTTGACATTCGGTGACACCTCTCACGCAGTTCGGAAGGGTCAGGGTCCAAAAACACAAGGGATTTGCAACATGTTTAAAACTCGACGGAACCCCTCACGCAGATCGGCAGGGTCAGGGTTCAAAAACAAAAGGGTTTTGCTACACTTCTGAAATTCGGCGGCACCCCTCACGCAGATCCGTAGGGTCAGGGTCCACAAACACAATGGATTTGCCACATGTCTGAAATTCGGTGGCACCCGTGACGCAGATCCGTAGGGTCAGGGACGAAAAACATGATGGACCCACGAACCCGGAAAGGGATATAGACATGCGCAGCATGGTCACGTTTTCACGATACCCAACTGGGCGACATCTCACAAAACATCCCACGAGACACCCCGCGAAACATCCCACGAGACACCTCGCGAAACATTCCACGAGACACCTCGCGAAACGTTCCACGAGACACCCCGCGAAACATTCCACGAGACACCCCACGAAACATTCCACGAGACACCCCACGAAACATTCCACGAGACACCCCACGAAACATTCCACGGGGGTGCGACTGGGTGTGGTCGTGCTGGGGTGTGGTCGTGCTGGGGTGTGGTCGTGCTGGGGGGGTGGTCGTGCTGGGGGGTGGTCGTGCTGGGGCGTGATCGTGCTGGGGCATGGTCGTGCTGGGGCGTGGTCGTGCTGGGGTGTGGTCGTGCTGTGGTGAGGTCGTGCTGGGGTGTGGTCGTGCTGGGGGGTGGTCGTGCTGGGGGGTGGTCGTGCTGGGGGGGTGGTCGTGCTGGGAGGTGGTCGTGCTGGGGAGTGGTCGTGCTGGGGCGTGGTCGTGCTGGGGCGTGATCGTGCTGGGGAGTGGTCGTGCTGTGGTGAGGTCGTGCTGGAGTGTGGTCGTGCTGGGGTGTGGTCTTGCTGGGGTGGGGCCGTGCTGGGGTGGGGTCGTGCGTGCTGGGGTGGGGTCCTGCTGGGGTGTGGTCGTGCTGGGGTGTGGTCGTGCTGGGGTGGGGTCGTGCTTGGGTGGGGTCGTGCTGGGGTGTGGTCGTTCTGGGGTGTGATCGTGCTGGGGTGTGGTCGTGCTAGGGTGGGGTCGTGCTGGGGTGGGGTCGTGCTGGGGTGTGGTCGTGCTGGGTGTGGTGTGCTGGTGGTGTGGTGCCGTGCTGGGGTGGGGTCGTGCTGGGGTGGGGTCCTGCTGGGAGGTGGTCGTGCTGGGGAGTGGTCGTGCTGGGGCGTGGTCGTGCTGGGCGTGATCGTGCTGGGGAGTGGTCGTGCTGTGGTGAGGTCGTGCTGGAGTGTGGTCGTGCTGGGGTGTGGTCTTGCTGGGGTGGGGCCGTGCTGGGGTGGGGTCGTGCTGGGGTGGGGTCCTGCTGGGGTGTGGTCGTGCTGGGGTGTGGTCGTGCTGGGGTGGGGTCGTGCTGGGGTGGGGTCGTGCTGGGGTGTGGTCGTTCTGGGGTGTGATCGTGCTGGGGTGTGGTCGTGCTAGGGTGGGGTCGTGCTGGGGTGGGGTCGTGCTGGGGTGTGGTCGTGCTGGGGAGTGGTCGTGCTGGGGTGTGGTCGTGCTGGGGGGTGGTCGTGCTGGGGGGTGGTCGTGCTGGGGGGGTGGTCGTGCTGGGAGGTGGTCCTCAGAATTCAGGTCCCCAGGAGAGAACAATCTATAACACAAAACAAGCGTTTCGCTCGAGACATCCTCACCATTTTCTGAAAAACAAGCGTTTCGCTCGAGACATCCTCAAATTTTAATTCGCCGGCCTCCTTCGACCTCGTTATTTATCAGGGAAAAAATTCGCCGGCCTCCTTCAAGCAGGCACCGGGGGACATGTTTACATACTAAAAGAGAACCCTAGGCTTAAGCCCTTTCCGGGAACAAACAGGTCCTGACACTGCTTCACGCCGGCGCCCAGACCTCATGATTTAGCTTTTGCATCTCGCGTTATCCGAGACAGGGGGCCGGCGGCATGGGGCGAAGCCCTTACAGTCGAGGCGTTGACCTAAGCAAGCCTAAATAAGGAACGAGGCCCCTAGTTTCCATAAGTTGAACTTCGATTTCGTATCGAAAACCTAAGGAAAATCCAAGGCAAGCTGCGAAACAATTAAGGAACACGGAGCCCCTCCCCAACGAAAAGGGTTCCTTCTTCAAGGCCCCGACTGTACGGATTTTGAGCGGGAGCCCTTGTCGTCGTACTTGGGCGCCCGCCAGCTGGACAACACTGCCTGAACGTTGCAGGCTAGCTGAGCCTGGGGGCCTCCCTGGCCAAGCCTACTGCGCCTCGGAGTGACGTGCGAGGCGATGTCGGGCGGGTGCCGCTGCGGTCGCAGCCGGGTCTTCCGGGGCCCACGTTTGGGAGCAGGCCCCCGCCCGAGCGGGAGCCACGGTCTCGAAGACGACGCAGCCAGCGTCGGGGCGAGAGCTCCCCGGGAACCAGCTCCACGAGTCAGCAGGAGCTGCCTGGGTGCTCCCGATGATAATCCCCGTGGGATGGTAAAATTCGGGGGTCTGGCGGGGAGAAGCAACGATTGTCCCGGGGAGGTGATGTTGGTTTGGTTATGATGGTGATGACGATGATGATGACGATGATGATCCTGGGCGCTCGTGTAGACTGACCTTGTAGATCTTGGTACAAGACTGGCTCGAGAGATCTCGAGGCTCGTGGCTACAACTTGCCTGCGCAAGAGAGGTCCTTGGCGCTTCTGGCCAAGAAACCTCTCTTGCGCAAGGCCTCAAACCACTCGCTCAGCGTTTTTGATGCTGTTGCTAGTCAGCATGAGATGAGAGCAACTTCGATTCGCAACTTCCCCATGGGATTATCAAGTTCGGCCTCCGCGCCTTCTCCACAATTAAATCCCAATTTACACGGGATAACAAAATAGAGGGGCTGAAGGGGGGTATGATTTATTATTGGGGGCAGTGGGTTATTCTCTAGACATGAACAATTCGAGGGCGACACGATGACCACGTCGACGTCGACAACGACAATAACGGCGACGACAACGACGAGGCGACCGACAACGACGACGACAAGTCGCCCCACGACGAGGACCATGCGCTGGCCGAGGGGCCTGGCCTCCAGTCGAGGTCCTCGTAATATCTGATGGCCTGACGGGGGGGCATGTTCTGCCAGGCTCCTCCCTCTGCCTTCCTTCCTTCCTTCCTTCCTTCCTTCCTTCCTCCTCAGGAGCGTTTTCGAACGATCCACGACACGGCGGCCTTCTGCTATGGCAGAATCTGTGCGCACCAAAACACCTCGATGCGTGTGAACACCAATAGGGCCTGCGCACGCGCTGCCCATGTGACACTCCAGAGGCCTCCGGAAGGCCTCCAGACGACGTCGGTCGTCGTCGGTCGTCGCCCCAACCTGGACGTTACTGAACCCCTCCGCCCACCTGTCGCGAGCGCAAATCGAGGCGCTACCGAGCCCATCCGCCCCCCCCCCAACGGCCGTTCTCGCTCGAGGACAACATGGGAGCCCTCCTTGCTCTGAGATCCAGGCGACCCCAGCAAAAATCACATCGCGACGGCGGTTCTTTGGACGTCTTCGGTCTCTGGACGCCGTTGCACGTTCCGTCGAAACGACTCATGATGAACAACCGACCTTGGGGAAGTGGCAGGCACGAACCGACTCTGACGTCGGAGAGGGAGGAGGTACCTCCTCCCTCCGTCATCTACTGTCCTGCTCCTCTCCTCCCCCGTAGAAAAAGAACATGATGGACCCACGAACCCGGAAAGGGATATAGACATGTGCAGCATGGTCACGTTTTCACGATATCCAACTGGGCGACACCTCACGAAACATCCCACGAGACACCCCGCGAAACATCCCAGGAGACACCTCACGAAACAACCCACGAGACACCTCACGAAACATTCCACGAGACACCCCGTGAAACATTCCACGAGACACCCCACGAACAGGCAACCACTCAACCAGACACCCAACGAAACATTCCACGGGGGTGCGACTGGGTGTGGTCGTGCTGGGGTGTGGTCGTGCTGGGGTGTGGTCGTGCTGGGGAGTGGTCGTGCTGGGGTGTGGTCGTGCTGGGGTGTGGTCGTGATGGGGGGTGGTCGTGCTAGGGGGGTGGTCGTGCTGGGGGGTGGTCGTGCTAAGAGGGTGGTCGTGCTGGGGCGTGGTCGTGATGGGGCTGGTCGTGCTGGGGTGGGGTCGTGATGTGGTGAGGTCGTGCTGGGGTGTGGTCGTGCTGGGGTTGTGTCGTGATTGCGTGGGGTAGTGATGGGGTTGGGTCGTTGCCTGGCGGGTGGGTGTGCTGGGTTGTGGTGCGTGTGTGGGGCCTGTGGTCGTGCTGGGGTGTGTCGTGCGTGGTGCGGGTCGTGCTGGGTGTGGGGTCGTGCTGGGGTGTGGTCGTGCTGGGTGTGGTTCGTGCTGGGGTGTGTCGTGCTAGGGTGGGGTAGTGATGGGGTTGGGGTCGTGCTGGGGTGTGGTCGTGCTGGGGTGTGGTCGTGCTGGGGCCGGTGGCGTGCTGGGGAGTGGTTACGTGCTGGGGTGGGTCGTGCTGGGGTGGGGTCGTGTATGGGGTGTTTGGTCGTGCTGGGGTGGTCGCCACCCTGTGATTTATCGATGGGTCGTGCTGGTGGGGGTCCGTGCTGGGGTGTGGTCGTGCTGGGGTGGTGGTCGTGCTGGGGGGTGGTCGTGCTGGGGCGTGATCGTGCTGGGGCATGGTCGTGCTGGGGCGTGGTCGTGCTGGGGTGTGGTCGTGCTGTGGTGAGGTCGTGCTGGGGTGTGGTCGTGCTGGGGTGTGGTCTTGCTGGGGTAGGGTCGTGCTGGGGTCTGGTCGTGCTGGGGTGTGGTCGTGCTGGGGTATGGTCGTGTCTTTGTGGTGGGGTCGTGCTGGGTGGGCCGTCGTGCTCGGGGTCGGTCCTCTGGGGTGTTGTGGTCGTGCTGGGGTATGGTCGTGCTAAGGGTGGGTCGTGCATTTCGCTCGAGACAATCCGGCCAAAAATTCCCAGGGAAAATTCCGTAACCAAAAACAAACGGAATTAGTCGAGACATTATCGAAATTCCTTCGCGCGGGGCGCTTTTCCGCGTCGCGGTCGGCTCTGCAAAACAAGCGTTTCGCTCGAGACATCCTCGGCAAACTCTGCGGAGCAAGCGTTTCGCTCGAGACATCCTCAACTCTGCAAAACCAGCGCCTCGCTCGAGACATCCTCACCATTTTCTGAAAAACAAGCGTTTCGCTCGAGACTTCCTCACATTTTAATTCGCCGGCCTCCTTCGACCTCGTTATTTATCAGGGAAAAAATTCGCCGGCCTCCTTCAAGCAGGCACCGGGGGACATGTTTACATACTAAAAGAGAACCCTAGGCTTAAGCCCTTTCCGGGAAAAAACCTCATAAACATAAATTTTCGACGGTCCGCGCGGATTTCTTGGATCTGCGCCGGACCACCCTCCCTGGCGCGCGGAGCGCGCCAGGGGCGGCGCCGGAGGCGTCGCCAGGGCGCTCCAGCGCAGACCTAAGAAACCGCGCGGAGCGTCGAAAGTTTATGTACATCGCGTCCTCCTCCTGCCCCCGCCCCGTCTTCCTCCTCCCCAGACCCCCGACGTCGAGAAGTTTTCACGGCGTCGACTCCCAGAGGTTTCGACTTATTCCCCAGAAAAACCGTCGTGATTTCGTCCGTTGCTACACGCAGGGATCTGGGTCCCCTCTTCCCCCCCCTCCTCCCGCTCCGGCCCGCGGGGTGCGCCCGAGGAGGACCGGGCGAGTGAAGGGGCCCAAGGACACACAAATACATACACACAAATAAAATAACCCCCTATATTTTCTAATATTTTCTGGGTTTTTGTCTTCCCCCCATTTCCCATATTTCCCTATATTTTCTAAGAATCGGCGATAAATTGTGTATGTGTTGTTTTTCCCCTACTGAGCGAGGGAGAGCGCCGAGGCACCCCGACACAGCCCCCTGCGCGGGCCCAGGCCCTTCGCCGCGGGACCCGTAGCGGCCCCCCCCGCCCCGCCCGGAGGCGGGCGCGCGGCGCGGCGCGCGGCGCGGCGCGCGGCGCGGCGCGCGGCGCCGCCCGCTCCCGGGGCCGGGGGGGGGGCCAAGAACTCCGCAGGACCACGCGGGTGAAGAGGGGAGGGAGGGTGTGAGCGAAGGAGGGGGAGGACGGAGTGGGGGAGGAGGAGGAGAAGGAGGAGGAGTAGGGAGGAGGAGGAGGAGGAGGAGGAAGGAGGAGGTAGGAGGAGGAGGGGGAGGAGGGGGCGGGGGAGGAGGAGAGGAGGAGGATGAGGAGGAGGAGGAGGAGGAGGAGAGGAGAGGAGGAGGAGGGGAGGAGGGAGGAGGAGGAGGAGGAGGAGGAGGAGGAGGAGGGGTGAGGAGAGGGAGGGGGAGGAGAGGGAGGAGGAAGGAGGAGGAGGAGGAGGAGGAACGCAGACCGCTGTGCCCCCTGCAAGGCACGAGTGCCGAGCAGGGGGTCCGATGTCCAAGGGGCTCGACAGTCCGCGCGAAGCGCGGCTCGAGCGAAGGAAAAGGAGGCCCCTCCCTACCCTCGCGGCGGCGCGCGCGCCCGCCTCGCAGTGCACAGTCTTGCTGAAATAGGAGACGATGTGCAGCGATGGCGGCGCGGCAGCAGCGGCGGCGGGGGGGGAGGGCCCAAAAAACTAAACGAGATTAGTCGGAGCCCGAGCTGGATCCGTCTCCAAGCGAGAGGAGGAAGGGCCCTCGTCGGGGCAGGAGGCGGCAGGAGAGGGAGCACGATTATCGTCGCGTCCTTCCTGCACGCAAGAGGCGGGCCTGCCCGCATCCGTGGGGCCAGCGTGGCTATCTGCACGCCTGCACGGCCGAACAGCCGAGGGGGCGGTAAGCTTCGCGCCAGTCTTCGGATGCAGGCCGGCCTCAATCCTCCGAATAGCCATTCGCTGGTTCGCCTTCGTAGAGGCCACGGCAGAGAAACCAACACATCTAGCGGCTAACTTCACAAAATTGCCAAGAGTGCCGTTTCCACCGCATTTGCGGCAGCAAAAATAATCACCATTTTTCAACACATCGTGACCGAGGGCCGAAAATTGAGGGTACCTGTCGGGCCCACTGGGCCCCGAGGGGAGCTCAGGAGTCAGCGGGCCCTTCACCCCCAGATCGTCGGGCCCCTCGGTCTGGCTGCGCAGCTCAGCCTCTCTCTGGGAGGCTTCCATAGCCAGCTGCACGGCCTCGGAACGCATCAGGGCAAACCCCTGGTCGGTCGCATGAGCATTCCACCATTCAGACGCAGCCAGGAGCTGCACGGGGCTGGCCATGCAATCACGAGTGGCCCTCTGTGTGAGCATGGCTTTGAGAGAAGTCTGGCTGCGAGCAAATCTGCCACATACACGGCACCTCCAAGTGGCGACCTTCTGGCTGTGCCAGATCTCGTGACTGGCGATCGACAACTTAGGGGGAAGAGGGGGGCTCGAGGAAACCAGAGGCTCATCAGGATCACCAGACCACGCTTGAGACTGCAACAGCCTTTGAGCAGCCCATGCCAAGAACCTAAGAGTGGACTTATGATACCTATATTCCCCCGCCAAGGCCTTACAGAATCCATCCGCGTAACTGTGGGACGCCGAGCCGAGCTTCGCGAAAAAATCAGCCCATAGGTTTCCCGCCCAGTGCTCAAGAGAGACGCCTTTTTTCTACAGCGTCATCGAGCGAAAGGTGGGCGGGGCACCAAACAAATTGGGGGGGATCGTGCTGCTGGTTCCTGAAAATGTCCGCCCAAATCGACGCGTGTTTGGCTAGACCAGCAGCCTGCTCTGGGTCCCAAGCGTTGCCTTCCCGAACGCTGGCCTGCAGGTCGGACACAATTTTTTCCACCGCAGGCGCAAAGTGCAGTGCCTGACGTATCGACCACCGCTCCGCACGTCCGATGGTCTGGCGCACGCCAGGCAATGCGCCGAAGACGGCACGAACTGGAATTAAATCTTGATTTAATTGGACAGCTGCCCAGCCAGCCCGAGCAACCTCAGGGGGACTTGACTGGAGGCAGCTCCCATCGACGAAACAGGTGGGCCCCCACGGGCCTGAAACGTTCCCCCAGAACTGGACCTGAGGGAGGGCCTCGGGGGGCTCCAAAGCCACAGAGAGTGAGGGGACCCCATAGGTGAGATA